TTCGGACTTAGAAATAGAAAAAAAAACCTTACTTTACTGACTTNTGAGGAAAATATTTCATATCATTACAATTAATAGAACATTTCCATACCTCTGTTTACTGACTTATGAGGAAAATAATTTCATATCGTTATAATTAATAGAACATTTCCATACCTCTGTTGAAAGTGTCGGATGTATTTAATCAGCCAGTACCTTTATATCCCCCTGCCCACTTTCTGCCGAGGTGACTGTAGCTGATGGTGTGCTCGAATGAGATGTACTGGGTTTACTCGTGGCCTATGAAATAGAGAAATACACCGGTATAGCATTTGTATTTAGAATATGAGATGAAAAACCCTCTATCTAGACTAGAATTCATGTACAGTCAAAGTTGAAAAGAAAAGCAAAAGATTTACCTTTTCTTTGATATTCACATGAACACTGTACAACATTACCGAATAGATCTTTCTTGACAACAGATTTATGACGAGGACAGTTGTCTATGGTTGTTAATTCTTTGGCCCAGCGCGAACCAGTTGATGGTCTTTGACCAAGCCCAAACAAAAAAGTTCCCGAGGCATAATCGCTGAGGCGTTTGATCCATTCAGAGGTAGGAAGACCTGTCTTCGTTGGTATAAAACTGTTCTCTGTTAGTTCTACATATAGGAATTGCTTCGTGATACAAACAATTATCACACTAATCCTTGGAAAACTTATAATATCAAAATGAAAACGAAAGTTTTCCATTGTCAGTCACAGTCGCGTGAAAACAAATGATGTAAACACGGCAAATTATAGGTAAATTTGAATCCAGTTCGGAAGTTCTGCCGGCGACCTGCGCAAGGATGACACGCAAATTCGTGAAGCGTTCCATATTTTTCGAATCTTGATACGAGATCCTTTTTACAAACCATTATCCTAACGCCCGGTATATGATGCTATTTCTTTTTTAATTTCGATGTTTCTTTGGGAGCAGCTTTAAGGCAGTTCTCTGAATGACAGCACGGTTATATATAGGCCTACTTTAGGTAAACAATAATACAACGTCATAACAATCGCCGCTTAAAACAATTCAATGCATTGTTCTTGCTGTTTGATGCCAGTATTGTAGGTTGAAGTGCCGAAGAAAGTTTCCGAAGCCAATGAATTGCCAAACAACTCAATTACGTCAGAATTAGCAATACAATTGACATATATATGCTTCCACAATGCGACGATAATTGCACTTATTACCCTTCCAAATGCATCAAAACTATTTGTTGCTATTATAGACAGATGGATATACACTTATCAATAAAACTTGTCCTATTGTCGTCAATTAGAACTTGAAATTGGCACTCTTTTCCAAATGACCCTATTGAAGCACGCGTTTTCACTTCGGCTGTACCACATTGACATTGAGAAATGACTAGGAGTTTACCTCTCGCAGACGATTTTTCTTTCTAACATTCATACGTATTCACCTATTAAACAGGAGACCGAGATATTATCCTGTCCTATCTACTACCTATCGCCACGTCTTACGGGCACGTTCTATGGTCACATCCATTAAAGTGTAAGTGATGTTTCAACATCAAATTCACCCTCCCTTCTCTTTTGATTTTCGCATAGTTGTTTTTCTTTTGGTTGTTTGATGTCGGCGACGTTTACAGATATAACTACTTTGCCTTGTACTATTTCTATTTAGTTCAGTGCGCATGCGCAATTTACCATTTTCTATCATGTGGGTTTGTTTATACGTCACAAAAACAATCATGACAACAATGACTGTAACTGGGTCATACCAGGGAGCTTTGATGTGTGGTAAGTCTAGGGTACTTAATGGACTTACTTGGAACTTAAAAATACTAACTAAAAACAAAGACGCAGAACCAGCATGCCTTAAAATTTTGGCAAGAAGAGAATTTGGAGGTCAACTGGCCAATAACATGGAATAACATTACGAAATTTTATAAAACACCCAAGATGATAGACAAGGACTTTAAAAAATTGCCAATAATGTTATATGGACAAAAGCAAAATTGTTTAAAATAAATAAAGTAGAAGATGATTTATGTCCGGTGTGCAAAGACGAGCCTGAATCAGTTTTACATATGTTTTATGAATGCTTAGATTTAAGTATTTTTATTCGTCTAATTCAGGCAGTCCTATCTGATATTTTACCTTTTAAATGTACACAAAGTGATGTAAAATGTTATATACTATTCGGTATGCAAACGGTACAGAAAAATATTCCAAACGAGCTTTTAAATGTAATTTTAACCTGTGCCAGACAAACCATAGTTATAAACAGATATGCACATCTGGATAATCCAAATTGTAATATAGATCTAATTACATTATATAAAAGTATTTTAGCTCAATCACTTATTTATCTTAGAAAGTTTTATAGTAGGAAAGATTTAGAAAAATTTATTTTACCATCCTGCTTTATCAATATACAATTACATGACCAAGAATTTAAATAAGTTTATAATTAATGTTTGCTAACTCGTTATAGAATTTTATTCTCTAGCTAACATGCTAGAGAAAATTTTAGGTGAATATAATGTTTTTAGAAAACAATCATCTATATTGAACTCTTGGATTTCGATTTCGGTCAAGAGTTCTACTATACAGATGTTTGGTTCTATT